CTTCCAACCCTAGGAATCTATGATTCTATGACCTCCAAGGTCCCTTCAAATCGTAGGAATCTATGATTTTGTGACCTCCAAGGTCCCTTCCAACAGCGAGAACCTACTTGATGTTTCTTTTCTGCTTCCTCTTTGGCTTTCTTCGCGCTCATTTCCTTCCTCAACCGTTCCTCTTCCAGCAGACGTAGTTTTTCTGCTTCCAGCCGTCGGTAATACTACAGAAAGAAACACAACATTAGCAGTAGGCAATCCATGGATTTATTTTACCAACCAGCCTCTCATATTGGCTGGGATTCATGTAGATGAAATGGTTCAATGGTTTGAAGTTACAGACAAACGAGATGGATTTTGGAGACGTGCAAAGTTACTTATTGTTGTTGTTGCACAATCAACCAAACGTTCCGACTGAATTTGGCCTTTTCATCCCCTTAGCCATCAATTTTTCATTCATTTCTCACAATATAGAATACCAAGGAAAATCAAAATAATAGGAAGATAGGGGGAAAAAAAGGAAATAGGAGAAAGTGTAGGGCAAGAGGATATCAATTTTTGTTATGTACTTCGACATTTTAATGCTTTTTATTGTTGTGATGTTTCTGTTTTTATTGTTTTTTTGCTGTTTCGGAAGTTTTGATTCTAATGCGTGTTTTGAATTGTGAGCTAAAAGAGATTTAGTCCTCTCTCTTAACTCCATCAGTTTTTCTAGCCAGTTGTGGAATTTTTTTTATCACTACCCAATCCTTTCCCCAGGGGGGCGGATTCAGCCGGTTCCGGCTGATTTGGGCAAACCAAAGGTTAAATTTACATCCGGTTTGCCAAACTGGTAGTTGAACTGACCAGCTGGCCCCACCCACCTGCCCCAACACTCTCATGAGTCTCCACCTGGCCCATTATGGATGCAGGTAAGTGCAGGAGGCTCTAGGAGCCGGAAAAATGGCCCAATCGGAACTTCCAGAAGTCCGGAAATGGGCCTGTTTCCGGCTTCCGCTGGGCCTCTGGAGCCCGGGGGAGGCCGTTTTCGCCTTCCCAGAGGCCTGAGGGAAGCCTCCGGACTCTGGGGAAGCGAACAACAACCCTCCTAAAAGTTCCGGTAGGCCACACCCACCATGGCCACGCCCACCCAGCCACCAGACAGAGAACCAATTGGGGGGATTTGGGAATCCCTTGACCTGGGATAGGCAAACATTGTGGGATGGTGTTAAAAAAAATCTCCTTGCAAGGCTGTCAGCTTTCCAACCAAGAAACTATTCCCGCTCCAGATCTTCTTGGACCTTTGAGGGTTCTGCGTGCGAGTCTTACCTCCCCCTTCAGCCGTTTATAGAGTCGCCGGGCAATCATCCCTCGTCCGTAGGCCTGGATGGTGAAGACCGCCCAAAGGCGATGGCGGAAAGCGCGGCGCACCAGGAAGCCCCGACACCGGGCCTGGAATTCGATGGTGCGCTGGCGAGCCATGTGGTACTGCCGGTGGAGTTTGCGGGAACGGTAGAGAGCTTGGAGCCTCAGGAAGCCGATTCTCATCTGGAATCGGGAGTCAGGGAAGACCGATTACAAAAGGCAGGGAGGCAGATTCGGGAACACGTGAAATTGGGTTTATCTCTGCAGAGATGACCAATGAAGGAAGAGCAAAGATTGTATAGCAGAGGGGATCTCCAAGTTTTGTAAATGTATGACTTGTGGATTTCAACTCCCAGAATTCCTAGGCCAGCCACGCCGCTTGGCAACTATAAGACTGGAGGGCTTTAACTCATAGAATCATGGAATAACAGAGTTGGCACGCAGAGCCATTTGTGCTGGCACACGAGCTGGAGGTAAACTTACCTCAATGCATTTGTGCGCGATTTTCGGATGGTTTGAGGCCTTTTTCGGCCTCCCAGAAGCTTGAGGGAGGCTTCTGCAGGCTTTGCAGGCTGAAAACTCGCCCCGTTTCATCACTTCCTGTTTTTCCTGAAAATACTAGAAGTGACGAAACGGGCCTAGTTTTCAGCCTGCAATGCCTGCGGAAGTCTGCAGAAGCCTTCCTCCAGCCTCTGGGAGGCCGAAAAAGGCCTCAAACCAACCCAAAATCAGCTGAGAGGTGCAGGTAACGGTGGGGGGGTAGATGGGAATTGCGCACACATGTGTAGGGAGCATAGGAGGGGGGCATGCATTGCCTTCTGTGTGCCGGCACGCGAGCACAAGCACGCACACAATTTTTGGCACAGGAGCCCCAAAAGGTTAGACACCACTGATCTTGTCCAACCTGCTGGCTCAAGCAGGAGAATCTATTTCAAATATCAGCCTCTACCTAGGATCGAACTCACAGCCTCCTGATTGTGAGGCGAGAACTCCACCTCTAGGCCACCGGAACTAACTCCCAGACTTCTTCAGCCAGCTATAAGACTGGTGGACTTCAACTCCCAGACTTCCTCAG